AAGTGAAATTTTTTTCTGATTTTTTTTGGCTTTTTCAGAGGTATCCTCGCGTAACAAGTTCCATACGTAGTCGCCCAGAGTATAGAGCTGGGAGAAAAAAATTTTAAAGCATTGTTATAAAAGCCTAACGGTATATTTGCTTAATATATTTTAATTAATAGATATTGAACTTGCATAAAACGCTTATAACGGTGAAAAAATATTTTCCCAATATGGTATTATAAGGCTGTGAAATATGCAAAAACACGCGTTTTTGGGACCTTTGAGTGTGCGTAGAAGCTGATTGGCTATTGATATTAACAAATCCAAAAACTTGTATTCTTATTTTGACTAGTAGAAGTGAAAAATAAGAAAAAATCAACTCAAACATTTTTTTGTCGCACAGTGTTAGTGTTCTAAATAACGAAGGCCACGACCAATCAATGAGAAATTGACGCCTTGCATGCAAAGTGGCCAGGAGAATCCGATCCGATTAGGCCCGATATACGAGCCTTTTGGGGATTGGGATCAGAAAAGTCGAACGAAAAGCCGCGACACGACGCCTGACAAATTGCTTAATTAATGCGACTCGAAGGCTATTTGCTGCCGAAACCAGTCATTGGCATTTCTTTAATGAAAAATTCGAGTTTACCTTTAATTATTTCGATTCGGCTGTTTTTTTTTTGCTAAATTACTTTAACTGCAGTCAGTATGTTTTAATGGCATTGCGGTTTTTGTGTATCCTTGAAATAATATTTGCTGGATTTTGCAATTGCTCACCAACATTTTTTTTTTTGCTCATTAGCAATAATGAGTATTTCAGATGTGTGAGTTTAACAATAAAGTAAAACCGCAAATTAATCACTTTGTAGCTTAATTAAAACATAAATCCTAAGTAAAAAATGATTTCCTGGTAGTCTTAAAAATACAAAATCTTTTAAAATCATTTTAAATTTGATGATGTTTGACTAGTTTCGACATTAAGATATCAAAGACTTTAAATACCAATTAACTTTTTATTTCCCACAAAATTTCCTAGTTTTCCAATCATTTTCAGTCGTAACAATATTTGCTTAACCAAAATTGTTAGTTTAATAATCAACGTCCAATTGGCTTAACAGTAACTCCACTCAATTTGACTTGGAAATTTCTCAGGCATTTTTGCATTCAACTTAGGAGATAATTCCGCAGCAGCTTGTTCAATAAAATCGTTAATTGCCACTCAAATAGCAACATTTTTTGTGACGCAGACGCGACAGGATAAAGGCTTATCAAATGGCAATAACCACAGAAAAACTGAGGTAAAACTGGTTGGATGAGTAAGTCGGCGACAAGGCGATAAAAATTTGTAGTCAAAATGAGAGATACGAATCATCAACAGCGTCAGGCGACTTGGGACGTAAACAAGCAAAATGAATGCAATTTCTTCAATGTATGAACAATTAACCAGCTCCTCGAATGGACTGCTTGAAAAAAAAAGGAAAGGGGTTTTCAGGGGGCTTAACAATTGGCCATTTTCAGTTGGTGGCCAAAACGACGGCGGCGCCATCAAATGGCCGAAATGGCGCCTGCAGCACGATTGTGGGTTGACTTCCCCAACGGCTTGGTCGGCGCCTTTTTACAACCAAAACTAACGCGCTTTACGGACCATGTGCTAATTAAATAGTTTACAAGTCAACTCTGATTGCCAGGAAGGTTGGCAGGCAGCCCGGTTTTGGACGTGGCCGAAACTCCGCCAGAGATTTATTGAAGTTTGTCCAAAACATCGATTCGGGGCGGGCCAAAGTGTTTTTTATTATAAAACCTGAATGGGGAAACAGCGCTCTTGCGGGTAAATGATTTGTTTATTACCGATCGCGTACAACGTGTGCCATTAATGGCTGTCATTCCGCATTAACAGCACTCGAAGCCTGCGGATGACCGGGCGACCCAGTTAGTGTTTGATTTAACTGCCGGTTGGGGTCGTTAAACTAGACAACACGACAATAAAAGTGATCGTAATTGACATATTGGTTATTATTGGCTGTCCATTGAAATAGAGCAAAGGATATTTAGGTTTGACAGACATACAAAGAATAAAAAATATTACAATAAATTAACAGAAATTAAATTTACACGAAACATTTATTAAATTGAAATTCAGAAATTTAACTTCCAGGAAAAACAGTCGAGAACTCATTGCCAATGTTCTTGAATTTTAAAATCCCCAAAACATTTTTATCTACTCAGAATAAAGATAAAATTTGAGTTATTTTGTTTTGCTTTTTACCTTTAAAAAAAGGTATGTATGTATTCAGGAATATGGACACTACTGACGTCATCCTTGCATTTATATTTTATCTCATCTCATTTCCTTTTCTGTGCACCCACTGAATTCCACAACTCCATTAAAACTTCCTGTGGTTTCCCTTTTCTGCATTTGACTTTTCTTTTAGCAAAAAGGAAAGACAAAATCTCAGTCTGTCTAGACAGACGACAATGTCGGCGACACAACTTGTCATTCCTTTTTCCCTTTTGAAGAAGATGACTCAGAGCTTATAAATTTAATTATGACTTTACTTATTATGCGACTCGCGGCTTTGCATGCTCGCAAAATAATAAAATAAAAACTAAGTAAGATATTAATAAAATCTGACAGCTAATGACAAATTAACAGTGCACAAAAAAATCTGAAAGTGATTCCGAAAAAGAAGTGTGGGCGACTCGTGTCTTTTCGAGGGGCTTTGCCAAGATATCCGATATCACAAAGCTCACCCAAGGCCCACTCAAGCGAAACTAATGAGTGCGATATGAGAGGAGACCCCAAAAACCCCGAAAACGAAACCAAACCGATGGCAAATCGTCTGCGCATGTGCAACATTCGGAACAGTGTTGGTTAACAGGCGTGTGGCAAACACTGGACCGAAACCTCGAAGCTAAAAATGCATTTCGAGTGATTGGCAAACACGCCGGGGCCATTTGTCCACCTTTCCCATCTAATGGCCGCAATGGTTTTTGGCTAATGGCTAAATGGTCCTTTCAACGCCTTTTCGTGCAATGATTGCAAGTGGCTGATAAGAGCTTTTGACTCATAAATCGTGATAATTATCGCAGCACAAGTGCAGCGAAGGAGAGTTCACCTCAAGTCGCAAATACTTTCATGATTTCGTGGTGCTTATTAAATTATTAAGTGAACCGCTACACGAAAACAATCTTGCAGGTAGCTTACATAATTCTGATTCCCGATTAGATAAAAGTTGCCTGCCTTTTTTGGCAGCCTGGCGAAACAAGTCGCTTAATTAAGAGCCAAAGGCTTAATGGGTGTTCGAAAATTCCCCAAAATCTTGATCTTTTTTGGAAATTAATTATTTTGTATAAAATAATAATTAAAAGTTGCCGCTTTTGATATTTTTTTATATATGCAATAATTGTTAGAAATTGTAAGCCACTCCGAGTTCATCGTACCCGGTGTTTCGGTGATACATTTAAAAATTAGATCAAACCTAGGTATAGAAAAATTTAACACTTCATGGGGAATTTCACACACACACAAGGTTTTGGGTAAACAATTTCCTTTCCTTTCGCAAGCAAAGTTCAAATCAAACATCCGCAGAGATGAAAGGGGAATGCAACTGCAGGGCTCGAGAACTTTTCACCAGGTGTGTGGCAGGTGACAATTTCAGCCAAAACTTTTACGACACTTTACGACACTGGGAGGAGGGTTCTAAAACATTCACTTCTTAAAGGGGAAGAGAGGGAGGGAGGAGGTACTGGTTTCGAGGTACTTGAAAAATTAATGTACCCGGTCGGTGTTAGCAGCCAAACGCTTGACTTGTCCTCCAAGGTTCGGGAAAAATGCATAGACAAATGTCAAATATTTATTGAAAATAAACAAAGCCGGCTAACAAACCAACTGACAAACAAGACGACAACGGCGGACAGCGGACCAGGTTGCGTCAACAGATTTCCAAGAAAAGAAATAAAATAAAAGGGGTGAGGGAGAGGGGGAAGGAAAAAGGGGGGCTGCAAACTGACCAGAACTGAAGATGTTTGGTCATGCATCAGTGCAGCGCAGCGTTAAAAGCCGGGAAACTCAGTGGGAACCGAACGGGTTAAGATTGGAGCTGCCTGCCGCCAAGTGGATGGACTCACGGCTGGCTGGATGGTTGGATGGATGGCTGGTTGGTTGGTTGGTTGGTTTGGTTTGGATAGACGGATGCTGGGTTCTTGTTGGCTCCCAACGACGTCGGTGGGTGCTTCAAAAAGATGGTGAGAAGAACACATGCTCCATCCATCCAGCAAGCATCTTTCTCCAACTGGAGAATCGGCTACCGGCTTTTCTTCCTCGACATCTTCAAGAGGCATCCGAGTCCGAGTTCTCGGATCGCCCATGTTCCCCTGTTCGTTTTTAGAAAAATATTTATCCATGGTCTGCCCGCCCGCCGATCGCGATGATGATGTTCATCATGGGCACAATGTGGTCGATGACTTCGCTGGCTTGTGTTATGCAAGTAATGCTTGATTTGGTATTGAAGACTGGTAGCTGCCACTCAATGTTCGCTCGTTGTTGTTGTTGGCATGACTCACAACAACAACAACAGCAAGAAAAGGCGCGATGTGTGGGTGATGCAATTAGGGGGGAACATCGTGTTTGGGGAGCTGGATCTGTGTAGCTTCCCATTTTGGGAGTGACTTTTGGGGAGCTTTATGATTTTTATTTCTTAATTGAGTTGAATTTCTTAATAAGATAAGGTTTTTTATTAAATGGGTAATTTATGTTTAATAGGAAACCAACTTAATTTTGAGTTAGTTTAATATATATTGTTTTCTATAAATACATACAAAACTTTATGAAATATATTAAACTATTTATAACTTAAACATTATTTTTACATATTCAAATACATATGTTAAAGATATTTAAAACATAAGAAAGAAATATTGAAGTGAAAAGAGCATCGGTTTTTTAATGAATTCTGTATCTATCGCATAGACTTTAATTTTCGATATAATATCGAAACTATTCGCATATCATCCCTGTTTTCATCTCGAAAATTTTCTGAGAAAAAAAGGAACAGAAAACTTGCAAATAAAGCCTATTACTTTTGAGTGCAAAGTCGAAGCGTATTATCCAACTGCCCACTGCTGTTTTCAAGCGTATCCTGATTAATTAGTTACCATAATAGACACAGGCCTTCTGAAAAAGGTAAAGTTTCAGGGAAATTCTTCGATCCACGTGCCGCAAGTTGAAAGCATTTTACTGTTCCGCATTTGATCCATATCGACATGGCGCATGCGGTACATAAATATTTCCACTATTTTTGGACAGGCTGACGGGGGATTTGGCTATCCGTGCTCCATGGGGCCCCCAGACATTCTTGTTTTCCTCCTGGCCAATTATGCACACAAACAGACAGCTGGAGGTTGAAATTACAGGGGCATCAGTTCTCTTCATTCCCAGCTGCTTATTAAGTCGTTGCCAACCGACTTCAAAGATGGCAATGGAAATTAACCAATTGCTGGGATAGACAACTTGCTGTTAAGGTAATCTCGAGTTGGTCAGCAATTGGAGTGCTTCCTGTCAGAGCGAAAATCTCCATCCAATTAAGGCTGCGGACTGATTTGCATAACCAATTTGCCTTCAACTTGCATACAAATATTGATTTTCGGGCGCTGAAAAATTGCAAGTAAAATGTTATTATAAAGAGTAAACCAAAAAAGGGCCGGTAAGCCGAAAAAGATGATGATGGATGCTCGGGAAAGTAATCAAAATTCACTCCTCATGAAAGAAACTTTTTGGGGAAACGGCTCAATTACAAAAAATGGCGACAATGAAAAAAATGTTAAAGGCATCATCTTCGCCTGGTCATGTCGTTATAAAGTAAACAAAGAGAAGCAGAAGCACTTAAAAATTGATGGAATAATTTAATTCAGCACCAAAATGTTGGTACATAATGAAAAAAGCGAGAAAACTAATTTAAAAAGATGATTTTTCGGTAAAAACAAAAGCGAATAAAATATGAGTGAGCTCTATAAGAAAACCAATCAATGTCAGTTGCAATCTCAACTTGTATTTTTTCAGCCAACACCTTTTAAACTTTCCCACTTTAAATAAACCAATTAGTTACCACGATTCATAACAAAATCCCGATTTACTTGCAACAATGTACTCCCAAACTATTTATAACTTAGTCATCAATAATTGACGCCAGACATGCCAGCCAACAATAATTCGAAAAATAGTTGCGAGAGTATCGCTTTCACTTTAAAAGTCTACGAGAAAAACTAAGCTTAGACAAAAAAAAATTGATTTAAAGCGATCCAAACAAATGTCTTTCAGTCAAAGCGAAAAACAAGAAACTCTGCTCTGGGCAAAGTTCAAATACAAAGTGTTAAAAGCGTGAAAGAAAAACTTATCGACAGCTGTCAAAATCGCCCAACTCAAGAGGAAACCGGCAAATGGCATTTAAATGTTTTGACAAATGACAAATTTGCGGTAGCCAAAAGCAGAAAAAAAAGAGGGAAGTTAAATAACTGCAGACTTCAGGCTGGCGGTGGCCTTTTCAACGGTATACTTTGAGTTATGTATAAGGCCTCTTAGCTCCCAATCCGCCCCTCAAATACTCCCATCCCCCAAAAAAAATATATTCACGTTTTCCAGCGCTGACAGCTTAAGTGAGAAAAGTATTGCTGATTAAATGTTTTGACAAATTGACTGCGCCACAAAAAATGAAAGTGTTTATAAATTAAATAAATGCCATAAAAGCTGAGATGGAATCTTTGCAATTGAATACGATTGGATTAAATTTGAAGAATTTAACCTAAAAACTTACATAAATATTTTTAAATTATTTATTTACTGTCTGCCTAACCTTAAAATTGATAGTTCTGATTTATAGCCCTTTGCCACCCTCACTTAACTACTGAAACTTCAGATTCAAGTTCCCAGGCTAAACTTTTCTCATTCGCCCAAAAAGTTTGTTTGTTGATCCTTCCCTATAACTTATATGCCATTTTCCTGCAATTACGTCAACATTTTTGTCTTGTTTGCAAAGTTTTGTGTTGACAATTGGCAAAAAAAAAAAAAAGAAAAAAGGAGCTGGGCAGCAAAAGGAAACAACTGCAAACAGCAGTGGACTGCAATTTGGAGCTACAATAACATGCAAATGGCATACCAGGTCAACATCTGAGCCCCAACTACAACTGAAACTTCAGGCTGTTGGCTGCTGGCTTTTGGCTGTTGGCTACTAGCTGTTGGTCAGCGATAAAGTTTATCTCGAAAGTTGCACGGCTGGGTTATCTGCGTACCGTGAGATACTTGTACATTTTTCATTCAACCCGGCCAAGCCAGCCAATCAATAATTCTCATGGCACAAAGTTCACAGCGATCCAGAGCAGCTGGCCCAAGTAGGTGATTTATTGGCAATGTTGTCTTGAGGGCTTGTTCTCTACTTGTTCGGTTTGAGCAATTTAATTGATTGGCCTGGGAAAAACTGTCAGAATTTGAATAATGGAGATAGCAACTGATTTTGGGTGCTTTGATTGAAAGTAAACGATTTTGGTTTGTTAAAATGTTAACTCAAGTGACCTCTTCAGTGTCTCGTTAATCGAAATTCGATTTATCTTTTTTTCAGTTGGATTGAGAGATTGAAGATTTAAAACGAATTGGAGATTTAAGGATTGTTAGCAAAGCTTTAAGGTTTTTAAAAGGAATATTATATTATTACATTATATGTTAATTTATATATTAAATAGAACTAAGAACATGGATAGCAGCTCAAGGACCACGCAATTAAGGGAGACGCAGCTAATCTCCTACAGAAATCAACTAAAATCAGACATTCGCAGCATGTTGGTTAACTTTGAAGAAATCTTGAAGCTAGCTTGCGATAATGAAAGTCCCAGCCAAGTCTCTAAAAGCACTCAGTGCGAGAAGGACGCTTTGGAACTTCAGGTGCGGGCAGGCAATATAGTTCGCGCCGGAGAATCTCTAATTAAGATGGTGAAGGACCTTAAGGAATTCTATATTTTCTACAATTACGCTTCCATCGACGAGGATATCAGAAGGAATTCGGAATTGTGCATAGCTACGCAAGGCGAATATGACGAAAAGATAGCGAAAGTTGCAGATGAAATGGAAGAGGATCTGTCTGATTTGGAGGAGGAGTACTATAACAGCTCATACAAATAGTCCCTAAAAATCAAAGGAATAACCTCGGAGCAAACAATGCTTGCCATTATTAAATACAATTGTTTTTTATATGTAAACAAATAAAGACTCTTTGTTTCTGATACTATGACACTTTTTAAGGAAATATCAAAATAAATAGTTATTGATTTACATAGTATCCAGTTGGAATATTTAATCTTTTTCTATTCTTTAAATCGTATTATTTTAATTAAATGATGAAAAAACCGCAACCAATTTTAAATTGCATTACAATATCTTACAAGAAAACAATTTAAACCTTGTGAACCCTCATTGATCTATCTATTTTCCCACTTCTAGCCCTTCGATTGCTAAAATCGGAAGACTCGTACTCATCAAGTGGCTCCGGAGGCCTCTATCCACCGCTCTTCAATGTGGTTTCCCGAGCTGAGATCTCGGTGAATGCGACATGTGGCCAGAACGGAGCCGAGGAGTATTGCAAACAAGTCGGAGCTAAGCCGTGCGGCATCTGCAATGCCCACTCCTCGGATCGAGCCAAGCAGCGCTCCATCCAGTCGCTGATTTCGACGGGTTCCGGACTCGAAGAAGGCTGGTGGCAATCACCAACGCTGCAGGGTGGCCGGCAGTTTGAGTACGTTACCATCTTATTGGATCTGAAGCAGGTAAGTCAAACTTACTCCGAGTGGACTCTGGTCAGGGCTGTCATCTAAGCCATCCGAAATTGGCGGGGCTAAGCTCTTGTGACAGACGAGCTGTGATCCAGTTTGTAATTAAGCCGCTGAGTTGTCACTCATTTACAAGCGATTTAACGCCAGCTCCATGATCCATCGTTATACATGCCTCGGCCTGTCCCATTGGAACTTTGAAACATGATCTTCTTGGCGATCGGACTGGCACTCAAAACCCGTTTGATGCCCATTCAGTTCTAATGCAAACATAAATTGCTTTTGATGGAGTTTTGATTAAGTCATATTGGCTTACATACTCATGCTTTTTTACAGCGACTTTCTCTGATCAAGGGGAAATAGTCTGTCATTTCCGGTGTTGACTTGGCTACGGAAATACGTCATAATATTCCTAAAAAAAATTAGAGAAATGTGTAGAAGGTTTTTAAATATGTATAAAGGAATTAGGTTTTGTTAAACTCACCCTTAACAACATAAACATTTTCCTGTAAGTTGATTCTAAACATGAACTTTAAGAAGAATCCCAATTAAAAATAGACCTCCCAGAAGGCGTCTGTTACCATATTTTATTTCACACTTGCGCGGATCTTTAAATCTTGATTGGGTGCTAATCGTTCGCCGATAGTGTTAATTGGAATTTCAAAGGGCACTCGACTGCAACGATTCGCCCTGCAAGAATCACAATTAACTTCACACTTTTCCAATCTCCTCTATTGGCCAATAATGTGCTGAAAACGAAGGAGAAATGAAACGGAAAATGTATATCATCTGTTTAGCATCAGCCGACACAAAGTTGACATTTCAAGTGCGGCTTGCACTCGAATCTTCTCCCCCAGAAGTTTCAATGTTTTGATATAATTCTTCTTTGCCATATGCCAGGGATCGGGCCATTCCAACTCACAAAGATTGTGGCCCAGACCAAGGCGAAGGCATTGAGTGTGCACTTAATTAAAACGAGAAGCATTCGAGGAGGAGGAACATCCACAGACTGGAAGTGATTTAAAATTAAAAACATTGTTTTTAAAAAAATTATTTATTTTTTAAACAGCATATCCAAAAAAAAAAAAGCCTTAAAGTATGAAAGATTTATGACAGCCATGCGTTGCTCTCCGAGTTTATTAATAAATTCCTGCACGTCCCTTTCACAAAGGGGGAACTCTATACAGAAGTATTTAAATTGGTCTCTTCACTTAATTAATTCTGACGTTACGTATTTCTAGTTGCCAAACAGAATCCAAATATAAATGGCAAACCTTTTATGGCATCTGCCTTACTCTTTGTATATGTCAACCGCTTGTTCGTTTTTGTTTTTTGTTTTTTAATGCAATTGTGGCTTGGACTACATTTTTGGTGAGGCAACGACCACAGAATTTATAGGTTCCCATGATTTTCCCGATATGGACAGAGCGGATGTCGGAGGAACGAAGTCAAATGAGGGGCATGTGTCAAAATTTACACGCTCTCATTGCGTTGATTTGCTTGAGTGACAAAGAATATTCGCAGCTTGTCAGGAATTTGGTTTAAAAGTCTGTTCGTTTTTGTTATTTTTTCATTATTTTAAAACGGAATTGTTAAACAAAAATTGTTCTTATGTGGAGCACAGACTTGTATTGCCTTGACTTTTAAAATTGTACGCTCATTACTCGTAAACTTTTCCCAAACACTTTTAACAGCTGCTGACTGTCGCATTCAATGAGCATCGAGACAATAAATTCTCCTCTAACAAGTTCACTAATTAGCTATATCCACAATTAAGTGTGTTGTGTGATTTGGCTGTGAACACATCTTGTGCATTTGTCACAACTATTTAGAAACACATTAGGAAGATCTCCCCCTTGTTGTCTCTCAATGCCAGCCAACCAAAACACGAACACGATTTATGACCTCTGAGGAAACTTGACATTGATGTTGGTTGGTTTCTCTGCCTTTTTTCACGGGCGACAAAATCTTTGGGACTTCCAGGCTTCAACGGATTCCCTCTCCATGCCGGCATGGATTTTAACAATTAGACTAATCGAGTGATTTACAACAACAAGAACAAGAAACCAAATAGAAACGACAGGCGTGTGTCAACGATTTGACAGCTTAAAATATTTCTTTCCGCGCTGGGAAAAAGGCGACAGACTCCGGCAGTCCTCGCAGACCGGTCAGAACCATTGCCATGGATCGTCTGTCTATATGTCTGAATGTCTCTTTGTCAGTCAGGCAGTCAGCCATCCAGTCTGTCAGTTTGCCAGTAAGCAGTCTGTCAGCCTGTATGTTCGTACAACAATGTCTAGATTTATGCTTGAATGGCTTTGGGGCGCGCGTGACTAATTGAAAGTCTAGCGAGAATTCTACGAACAACGCGGCCAGTGGCTCTTAAACTGTGAATGCATTGCTAAAATATAAGTTATTGAAAAGGAAAGCCATTTCAATTTCAAAAAGTTGTGGAAAAAACTGTGTGGGATTCCATATCTAATAGCAAGTTTGGTAAAGGTGTAAAATATGCAACGAAATAAATTACACTATATAAAGGACTTTGTTACCTATTTAGAATTAAACTTCCTTGTTCTTAAACACTGTATTCTAAGCAAAATTAATTCCTTTTTAAAAACTAATAATCACCTTTTTTGTATTATTGCCGGCAAACATCTGACCAGTCTTGCTAATACGAGTATTTCCAATTTGAAATGTTTAGTGTTTGTTTTTGTTCAACTTTTTTAGACAGACATTTAATTGCTTCATTAAATTTAGCCAAATTTGGCCAATGAAAAAATAAATAAAAACGAGGGGCCGGTCATTTGGCATCGCTATTGGTTTCGTAACTGTAATTCAAATGTTTGACAAGTTGTTGCAACATTCGCAGCGCCAACAAGTAACAACAACAACAACAACAACGAGCAAAGCGTGTTACAAGCCACGTTCGAGACGCATTTTAGGCACAGCAATTATTTTAATGGTCAATTTATTTATTTGTTTGCCTGTGATTTTCGTTTGTTTTTTTTCGACATTTTCCCTGAATTTGCCTTTTAAAGAATGCTTCCTCAGTTCGCGCTGTTCAACTTCAGTTGGTTGCATTTGCATGAATTTCCTGCATGTTTTTGTTTTTGTTTTTTTTTTTTGGATTGGGGCTTAACGTGATTGAAGCCTCGCTTGAATTGTTTTCATGTCATTTACCAGGAAGAGGATTTTATTTTTAATGGTCAATGGCACAGGGCGTGCAAAGTCAGCAACAAAAAAGGTGCTTGAAAAAGTACAAGAAAATATTGACTTTTTTAAATTCTTTCTCAAAAAAAACCTTTGGAAACATGAAAGCCATTTCAGTAAATAAATGCAAAGAATTTTGATTGTCCCTGAATTACAAAAACTATCATAAATCAGTTTGTTTATTTTTACAAAAATTGATTGCAAATACATAAATGTTCGAATGTAATTAAAGCGCAGTCAAAGAATTATTCATAACCACATTCCATTAACTTCTCGAGCATTAAGTCATACATTTTTTTTTTGAAGTCATAGTGTAACTGCTACTTGTTTAACTCGGATAATTCAGTTTTATTTCTAGAAGTCCAAACAAGTTATTCAAAACTTTGTTCGTTCTTTAGCCGCATTAATGCGCCAATTTTCAGAGATAAAAACTTGCAGCAGACACAAAACTTTGCGATTACTTCAGTGCGAGCAGCCAAACACGTCGAAAAGTCTGACTGAGCGATAGAGAAAAGTAAGAAATTGTGCAAAAATATATATGAGAAACATGTCTGCCATGTGGGTTCATTCACCATGTTATCTAAAAGCGTGCCAAACCGAAAAACGTACAAAAAATACAACAGGAGATTCTGTTTCTTCCAATGGGCCACCAAACTATGAAATTTGCCAAAAAATATGCCGAGATAAAATGCTGTCTAGCACACAGGCCCAAATAAAACTAAAGGCAAGCCCTAAATTTGTTGTCTTTTATTTTGGCTGTCTCACTCTGTCTACTTCAATTTTTCGGTCGTTTATTTATAAAATTTTTACGATGTCGTGGGTTTTCACGTTCGGTGTGTTTTTGGCAATTAACTGAGCGTCCGTGTTAGTTTTTTTTGGGGGCTTGAGCGCAGAGGAAGTTTCCTGTCGGTTATGCCTGGTGGATTTTCTTCATTGAGCGATAAATATTTGATTGCCGTAAATGTTAATTCGTGTAATTTACGACATGCAATGGTCCCTCTTACCACTCAATTTCGTTTATCAACTCAAATTGGATACCTCACTCATTTCCACTGAATATTTTAACAATTTTGTTAGTCTCTCTTTGATTTGGCCTTATCAGTTGATAAGTATCTATCAGGTAACAGGTTTTGGTGCATATACAATAACTCACTCCCTCTGGGGAGAATCCACAGACCAAATATTTGTACTAAGAGTGATCTTCATCGGCATGTTGTAAACAAGTTTGTGGTTGTTGGTTGTTGCCGTCAATTGGCCGAAACTGATAAAAACGTCAAAGTGTTACCCCTGAGGCCTTCACCTGCCGCTTCTTCGATTGCAATCTACAACGATTTTCACATCTCCACAGGAAAGGAGCTAAAGGAGACCACGACGAAGCCTTTTCATACATAGTTCGCCTCCTTCGGCGGGAACTTGTTTTTGCTCAACAGGCAGCAGGAAGTCAGTTCAGAAGCCCGGGCTGCTCTCGAACTGATTGCAATCAGGGCTTTGGACAGAAATTTGATGGGAACAACATAATTCACTAGAGATAACTTATCGCCTTAATTCGTGTGTGTCAAGTTCAGTGGCTCCTTAGCAAGCCATCGGAAGTCAAGGAATTTCGAATACCGACAACCAAAAAATACCTTAACGTTTTCTTATGGCTAGATTTAATAAAATTTTATTTATTCTTTTACAAATGTTTTTGTTAGGGTAAGAAGAATTCATACATTTTTTGATTACATTTTACTAAACTGGATAAATATTTTTTTATGTTTCCAACAAAAGTTACTTTGATGATTTCCTTAGATATTTTCTGAACACCTTGGTATCCGGATTGTAAGTCAATGCAGTTTTGGTTGCAATTGTTGACTTGTACAAAGATATTACACTTAATTACTATATATGATAAAGATAATTATTTGTTAGTAGTTAATACAAACAGTCTCATACTCTCCTATGTTTACATTGCACAAAAAATTAAGCTAATACTAAAACATTTGTTTATTAATATGATTAGAATCTATAGTAATTAAACATATTCATTAAATTATTTCATATAATTTCATTTTGGGGCACACCTGGCCCGAATCGACAGTACCCAAATGGTAGGTGAAGCTGAGTCGCCCTTTTGACATCCTGACTGATGAACTGGTAGTCAAAGACTGCAATAGAAAGAGCTTGTCCCACCTTATTTATATTTTTTCATAGCCTGTATGCCCACTCAATGACCAGGTGAGATTAACCCCGCTTCTCTTTTATCTCTGCGGTTTCCATCTGCTGACATCTGTTTAATTGGTCTTAATCCCCAGTGCAATGCTTTATACCAATTATAATTTGATTGTCCATATGTGGTTCTTTGAATCAAGAGCTGAATAGAGACCAGCAATTAGCAGAAGGCCATCTTGACACTCTGCAAAAGTGAATCATCTAATCCTTAGGGTTCAAATCAAAAGGGGGCAGGATAAAATATAATACTGCATACTTATAACATAGATTTCCTCTTCACCATTAAACGACAACCACAAATCCAAGTCCTAACTGAAAATCCACTTACAAATTTATTTTTGCGGTCGCTCTTTCACTTATTTGTCTTGTTAATCTTATCAGCTTGACAGACGCCGTTGTCGCTGTAATCGAATACAGGCGGTATTCAATAAGGCGAACGCACGCATGCGCACTCCTCTTCCCACTCTCGCTGGCATTTGACTTCTTGTGTTTTTGCATTTTATCAGCGTTGGAAAATCGGGAAAATGTGTGCTGCTGATGCCATTAGCTACTTAGTGAGTTGTGGGTAAACAAGTGGCTTTGAAATTTGATAGAGTTGTTTTTGAGTTGGCGATACAGCAATTGCTCTTTCGATTTCGTTTTCTCTGCCGTGGATTTGATTCGGGAACCGCGATGACTGGCGAAAAGCTAAAGGAAAATGTTTAAAAAAATAATACCTCGAACTTATCTGGTTAAATGGCGCCATGTGGCTGCTCTAAGTCAATGCATCGTAATCAATTATACACCTGGCCACACCTTCGCCACAAGTCGCCCGTCCGAAAATTCAATTACATGCCTTTTATTGATTTCTTATTTTGGCCTGCCTTGGTTTTTAGCTTGTGTGGCTTTTTTGGCCACTGATCTTCGATAGGCGCAACATTTTCAGCGTCTCGAACACGCGACGTTTTTGGCATTTGGATTTTGTTTTCCTTCTTTTTTTTCTAACATATATGTATGTTTTTTTTCTAACAATTTTTCTTAAATATCGCTTGTCAGCTGTTGCCGCCGGCCACGTTGAAAGAGCCACAGTTGGGCGGCGGTTTTTAGAGGGTCTGCGGTTGGTTGACAGTTTGGGAAATTTATGACGCGGCAATGGCAATGTTGGGTTAAAAGATTTTGCCAGCACCACGCCGCATTATCGGAGATATGGATGCAGTTTGTTGGTAGTTCACAGATGCAAAGATATGTGCCAGCGACTGGATAGAAACATCAGTTGGTGACAGAAACACTGACATTTGGGTGCGTAGATAATTTATTGCTCATTTGCCCATTGGCTATAAACTCGAAATGCTGAGGTGCGATGGCAGTTGTGTTAACGGTGGGAAAATCTGTTTTTCACTGCTGCGAAATTGTAACAAATTACTGGTTATTCGAGAAAAATATATATATTCCATCTCTTAATGATTTGAATAGTAAGGGTTTTATTTATAAATATTTTTTAAGGATTTGAACATAGAAAGGTTGCCTATATTGATTATTTTTATGTTTCTTTTCCTTTTAGCCTTATCAAATATTTTCGGTATGGCTGAAATCTGCCAACTCACCTCGACCAGCTTCATGGATTCTTGAGAAATCCCTGGATGGTATAAACTTTGAACCTTGGCAATACTTTGGCCTCAGCGATGCAGATTGCCAGAGACGTTGGAGCCTTTCCGGACAGAATGGGAAATATGTTTTCCAAAACGACACCGAAGTTATTTGCTCCACTCAGTTTTCCAAGCCAGGACCTCTTGAAAACGGAGTGCTTCATGCTTCACTACTGAAAAATCGACCAGGAGCCGCGGATCAGAGTCCTGAGTTAATGGAATTCATTACTACTCGCTATATAAGAATTCGTTTGCAGGGAATGCACTCCACTGCAAATTTGGATAATAGTTTGGATTGGCTGCTGGATTCCCCTTCACTGGAGAAGCACAGCTTTTATTCCCTTTCCCAGTTGAAAGTGAGTGCTCGTTTGGATTGTCATGGTCATGCAAATCGCTCCCAGGAAACGCCAGGAAGTCCTCTGCTGCAGTGCATCTGCCAGCACAATACTTGTGGAGATCAGTGTGAACAGTGCTGTCCGCTCTTCCAGGATCGATCATATAGGCTGGGAGGAGAATGTGAGATATGCCAGTGTAATGGACACGCCGAGAGTTGCACCTATGATTCCTTCTTGGACAAAGGCATCTGCCAAAGTTGCTTAAATCACACAGCTGGCAATGAGTGTGAGTTTTGTGAGAGTGGTTTCTTTAGAGAATTGGATGCTCCACTTACCGATCCCTGTTTGCCTTGCTCTTGTAACCCATCTCGATCCACGGGAAACTGTGAACCAAATGGAGGAAGCTGTTATTGCTTGGAGGGATTTCAGGGTAAAAACTGCGAGGAGTGTGCTCCTGGATTCTATGGAGATGAATGCAAGCGATGTGAGTGCAATGAAAGGGGAAGTCTTTCCTCTATTGGATCTTGTTCGGGAACCTGTCAATGTAAACTCAATGTGGAGGGCAGCACCTGCTCCGAATGTGCACCGGGTTACTTTGATCTGAGTGCAGAAAATAATGAAGGTTGCACCAGTTGTTGGTGCTCCGGTGTTTCCCAAACTTGTCACAGTGCTAAACTACAAACAATGGCTTTCGAAACCCTAAATGATTGGAAGCTTACGGATATTCAACGAGTTAAACCAATTTCAATACCCGTCGATGCCAAACAGAACCGATTGATTTTTGCCAACGAATTGGATGAAGTGGAGGCCATTTACTGGCAGGCTCCATTGGGTTATTTGGGGAATCGATTGACCAGCTATGGAGCCAGGTTGCAATTGCTTTTATCCTGGGTTGTAATGAGAGGTGATACCTCGGGAAAACCGACTACAGGACCTAATGTTATCTTATTTGGAAAAAACGGATTAAAGATTGCTTTTGCGGATGAATCTTTGTCAGGATTGGAGGTCAGCTTGAATGTAACTCTTACAGAGGAGGGATGGTATCATGTTCCTCCTACTGTTAAAGATATAAAAACCAGACTAAGAAGAACTGAGGGCGGAGATTATCACGGAGAATCGGTGACCCGTTCCCAGTTCCTTTCCGTTTTGGTTTCCCTTGATGCTGTGCTCATCCGAGCAGCTTTTCACACCGATCAAGTGGAAACTTCTTTAGAGAGAGCAGTCATTTATTCGGGAGGAGTTGAATTGGGTGGTAAATCCTCTACCCAAGTGGAACAATGCCTTTGTCCAGCTGGCTATACTGGTCTCTCTTGCGAGGGATGCGCCTTTGGTTTCAAGCGAATATATGAGAACACTTCGGATCACCAAGTTTTGAGCAAGTGCATCCCATGTCCCTGCAATGGACACTCAAATTCCTGTGATTTACAAAGCGGAAACTGCGGCGATTGCATGCACAACACCTACGGAGATCGGTGAGTTGTAAAAAACAGTTTCATTTATTTTTAAATTATTAGAAAACTAAAAATTAGTGATTCACTTTAGTTTGGCCACAAACCAATCATCCTTTACAATCCACACAACACAATCCACATTTAACAGAGTCACAAACCAAGGCATTAGTTTGTGTCTTAACTTTTTCACCATATTTTGTCAGGGCACTTAACATTTAGCCAAGACACAATCCCCTAACTAATTCAAATTTCGGAATTCTTTTAGCTGTGAGCGTTGCCAGTTGGGTTACTACGGGAATCCCCTGCAGGGAACCCCCAACGACTGCAAACGATGTGCATGTCCTTTGGTCGAGGATTCAAACAACTTCTCGCCCAGCTGCCAGCTGAAGAGCTATAACTACATGGACTTGAATCCGGAATTTGAGTTAATAGAGCACGCGGAATACATTTGCACACAGTGTCCGGAGGGTTATACGGGTGATCACTGCCAGGTGTGCGATGATGGTTACTTCGGCAATCCCCGCCAGTTGGGGAGCAGCTGTCAGCGTTGCGATTGCGCCGGAGGACCTTGTAATGTGACCACAGGAGAATGCATCACATGTCGTGGGAATACCGAAGGTTGGCACTGCGAACGCTGCAAACTGGGCTACTGGGGTGATCCCGCCGTGGGCTGTGATCCCTGTCACTGCCATTCCGAAGGATCGGAAAGTGGCCTTTGCGATAGCACCGATGGTCAGTGCTTATGTAAACCCCGCTACGCCGGTCAAAAGTGCGACGAATGCGATGTGGGCTTCTCCAATGTGGAACTGCGCTGTCCATCCTGCAATTGCGATCCTCTAGGATCCCTCAACCCGGACAAATGTGATCCTCGCACGGGACAATGTCAATGCAAAGAGGGAGTAATGGGTGCCAAGTGCCACGAATGTCAGGATGGATACTTTGGAATGAATGCCGTGGCCGATCGAATTGATGATCTGGCTGCCTTGCGAGAAAACTCAGATGATGATGACGACGTTTGGGAATTGGTTCCAGAGGTTGAAGATCCCAGTGGCGACTCAACGGTGGCCTGCGAGGGTAAGTACCCCACATTACTAACCAAAAGCGTGGCGTCTAAGAACAAAGAAATTCCTCGAAATGAGTTCACTCTGCTGATAAATCGAGTGCACCTATGAAAAACAGATGTGTGGCCGAGAGGTGGGCGAGTAGTCCATCAATAACCCGGGAAACATAATTAAATTGGTGTTCTACTTTGTGCCGTTAAGTGAAGCGTTTCTGATGCTCTTCATTGGCCTCAATTCAAAGAGCTTAATGCACAAATCAGTCAATTTCTGGGCGGGAAGTGCATCTGTTTTGAGGGGCAATCAAATGAGGGATCGTTTAAGTTATTATTAATAGAATTCAGACGCTTTTTTTCATTTAATAATTATTTACTATACGCAATGTATTCAAAATGAGATTTAATACATGCAATTACACTAACTGCTTTACATATACAATCAAAATTTAAAGCCCATAAAGCTTTCCTCAATTATCTCGCTTCATACAACTCAAACATTAGGCCAGAAAATTACAATTTTACTTGAGGCCATCATCGCTTCAAATTCAACTTATCCATCATACAAAATGCATTACATCCACTCCATTGTAATGGGATATTTTTGTTATCCAGTTCTCCTTGAAGTGGGTTTTTCTATCTTTTTTAACACCATTTACAGACCGGACAATGGGCAAAAACCCGTCTCAAATTACCTCTCTTGGTTTGTTATGAAAACCAAAAGCGGTTGCCTAGAAGATGACTACTTGTGTTTATTGAGTCGTACTTGAAAAAGAACTCGTATTGCATCACACCCTGAATGGCCATTCTTTTTTATTTAAATTTACTTTGTAAGTGAGACGCTCTGTGGTTTTACTTCTTGTTTCTTAGTTTTCTAATTGTTGGCCTGTCATCTCTTTGTACTTTGGGTAGATTGGCCCTTTGGCTATACAAAGTATTACACCTTTTGACTGCAGTGCGTCAGTAATTTTATGAATTTTATGGCTTTGGGTTTAGGCGGCAGTTTAAGCTTCTTGTACTTTTTGTGGACCAAGTAAATTGAATTTGGCTTAGATTTACATTTCCAGGATATCTCTTAACAAAATACAACTTTTCACAAAAACAAAAAAATCACTTATCGTTATAACAAAAATCTACCAGTTGGACACAAGAACAAATTGTTTTTTAATAAAAGAGTAACAGTTAGGAATCTCATAAATATTTCTACTTTAATATAAAAATATTCTTCCTAGAATTTGAAAAGTAGAAAAAACACTATAATGCCTTTGACTTTATTGTTAAGTATGTCTGAAGAAAACGCACCCAACTATAATTCCGCATTTGCATGCCGCCTTGGACGGGCACTTGGCCGTTTGGCAAGCCAGTAACCCCTCGATGCCAACATTTACCAACAGTAGCACGTGCGTTTGGACTTGAGCTCGCTGGGAATTTATAACCCACGCATAAAATTGTGCAGCTATCTAAGAAATTAAGCAGCAAACTGCGAGATACATTTAGCCGCTGGTCATATTTTGTAATCAGTTCCATTTGCCGCTCACCAAGCAGCAGTCGCAGTCGCAGTCGCATTCGCAGCACAAGTAGACACACTTTTGTGTTGACCACAGACTCTGCGGCACAGACAGCATGGAGCCACTTTGGTGTCCAGTTTTAAGACCAAACCCAAGCAAAGCCAAGCCAAGAAAAGCCAAGCCAGGCCAATCCAATCCAAGCCGAGCCAGCCACTTTGGCAATTCAAGCCGAGCGGCATATTTTCATGGGGCTGAGACTCTTGTGCATTTGCTGTTGTTGTTGCTGCGTTGACATTTTTATGGACATCGGAATTCTCGGGCCGCCGACAAACTCTCAGGCGGACACCGAAAAAAAAAACAAATAAATACTATCGGAAAAAAGGCCAACAAAAATCGTGGCCACTTTGACTTTGCCCCTTTTTCGTTTTAGCCAACTGATTAGCGAAACAATTTCAAATATTTGTGTTAAATAACTTGACAATTAATTGCATTTCGTGGATGCGGTTGCGTTTGTTGTGGTTTCGATGGGTTTGGTTGGGTTATTCGCATTTTGGGGTCTGCGGGGCGTCGAAACAATCCAAACCAAATGAAGTTATACGATTTGAGAGCAAATTTGTTGTGGCATTGGCGGTGCCTTAAAAAGAGTTCAAGATGATAATGAGAATAGCTATGGCAAATGAAAGGGGAGCTCTAAATATTTCTAGGAAAAGCAATGAAGTCATATGAGCAAAAGAGTCTGCTAAAAACTAAATATTATAATTACTTTATGTAAAAAGAGGAGAACTTTAATTATTTCCAAGAAAAATAATGAATTCCTATAGTTTACAAGTATATTTGTATCTCCATCTTTCTGCACCGAAAGTTAATATTAGCACATGTGCAAGTAATTTTACACGACTCAGTGACCAACTAGACCGGACAATTACAAAATTAAGCCAGCCAAATTGGAGAAAAAAAGCTCGTAAACGGCGCAGTATCTTTTTCACCAAGCTGCACAACGATGAGACTGAAAAATTGCCATGAAAAAAGCATCTTTATAGACAAGACGAGCCACGACTTGCTGGACAGACGGACTGTCCAAGGTAATCAAGAAGCGTCCAAATGGACAAAATGGAGCAACAACCACTGGCTGCTGGCTGCTGGCTGCTGTTCCATTGCCCGTCAGCCTGTCAACGCATCATTCGAAATGGAGCAAGAGGATCCGATCCCCGATCCTCGGAGGCAATAAATTTCAAATAATTTCAAAGCACGGACAAACAAATGTGACATAAATCGTCTGAGTAACGGTAACGGAAGCATGCAAAGCCAAAACATTGACACTAATGAATGTGGCCAACACAAATGTAATTGCCGAATGACAATTTGTTTACAATTGCCAATGCAAAACCAACATACGAGGAATTTATTACTTTGAGATACAAGAAACTGAAGTTAGTTGGACTAAGAAATACTCTTTATGCAAAATAGAAACTGAAAAAAAAATACATTTTCCTGGGTCAGCTTGAATTATTTGACAAGAACATGGGTAAAAATATCAAAAAAGTTGCAGTTTCTTAAAGAATTCAATTACAAACGATTAAAGGTGAAGCGCTGATTTGGGTCACCATATTGGAATTCATCGGAATCTCGAGGCTGCTTTCCATCAGTGGGATATATTTGTCCAGCTGTGGTACAAACTTTATAAATAAACTGAAATACCCTCTAGAACTCTGTAATAGTCACCATTGAGTCTTTCAAATTGTAACCGGGTCATTATCGAAAACACTTTTCGCGGAGCAGGGGAAGCCAGAAGTTTGGCATTTTGATTTTCTAATTTATTGCCCAGACTTTCGCTCCAATCGAAGGCCTGTCTCGCGAGTTCTCCCCCCAAAACCCCGCTAGATCGCAACTTTGTATCTATATCTAGTTGCCTGGTTGCCATGTTTCGCTATCGCCAGCGTCCATGTCGTCGTCTGCTTCTCCTTTTTGGTCGTGGTGTGATTTTAATTGCTCTTACAAATGTTCTTCGTCGCGCATGCGCTGCAAACTTTTCGAGTGCAAATCTATGTAGCCCAGCTCCAGCTTTAAGCTTAAATTGGGCAAGACAAAGGCCGAGATTTATAGCCAGCCAGGCTATATAGTATGTTCGAGAGGGAATTTTGTCCCATTTTTTGGGGATACTGCATGCAACGTTTTCATTTTAGCCAACTCGTGTGGGTAGATGGTTTAGAAAGGTCTTATGTGCGCTAGATTAGATGGTTACTTTCGGTCGAAGCGTTTATAGATGGCTTGAATAGTCTCTTAAGATAACAATATATTTTATTAACAACAGGGTTTTAAAACAAACTATATTTATTGGTACTAAACCAAAATCATAAACCACTTCCTCTCACAAACACAATTAATATGCATAAATGAATCTCACTTTGTCATTTAACACTTCGCTTCATTTGCTGCCATTAGGGTAATCAATTGACTTAATCAGTCTCTCTAAGCTATTGCAAAACAATCGACTCACAATCAACTTTCAAATGCCACCCAAGCCAAAAGCCATTATGAATAATCTCTAAAGCTTTGACGAAAAATATTAATTAGAAAATAATATTCTCGAAAATAAATGTGCACTCGCCGAGATGTGAATGAAACCCAAGTCAAGCGCATACAATAATTAATAAATTATTTCCAGTCAATAAACCTTTCGAGTCTCTCGGCATTGCAACATATTTTTTCGTGGAGATTTCAACTTGAGGATTTTGAGAGGGGGGAGAAGAAATACTCGGCACCCCGCGGATGAGCAAGCGCCGCACCAAAATACTCGATTCTCTGTGGCAGTCGCTCCATGTCAGTTCATTAGGGTCAGCCAGCCAGCGACTGGGAAAATCGGAGTGCGGACTGTGAGTTTTGTGTCTTGGCGGTTCATAAAAATTAGCTGACTATAAAATTAGTCTGGCTGGCATGGGAGGGTATTCAATTCTCGTAAAATCAACACAAATTGAATTGCACTCCATTCATGGAAATCAAATTGCGTTCGTACTTTATGACTGCCACAGTTTTTGAATGGAAATCAAAAGAAGCCAACTCCCAGCCATCGCAAAACTAAGTTCACTGACTGTTTATTAACACTCGGGACTCGAGGAAGTGCGAAGCAGGTGCGAGCCCTGTATAAATAGAACTCTCTGGCAGGTGAGTTTCGAATTTCGGTGTGACTTTTAGCTGCTCGTAAACCGAAAACTCTCTACGAGATGAAAATGTTCTTTCTGCTAGACAGAGATCTCGTTTGGGGGCGTAGAATTGAGTGCCATTGACAACAAAGTGTTTTAGTTGATGGCTTCTGGGAGGCATCAACTTTCCCGTGCAATAAATTTGGAAAAGGATTGTGTGGGAAATAAAAATATGGGTTGTATTTGTTAAAGGAAAAAAATTCGAACTGAAAATTCGAAATAATATTTTTAACTCAAAAATGTTTTCCTGTTTTTATATTAAAAATTTGAAAACCTCTCTTTCACTATTTTTAATATTATTTGATTATTTTA